AGTTCACAATGAGGAATAATGAAAATACTGAGGAGTAAAGTATAAATAATAACGAGAAACCTCAAAGAATCCTTCAACCAGATAAAAATACTAATAATAATTAAAATAATAATAATAATAATAATAATAATAATAATAAAGCCTATTGAAAGCGCAATGGTGTGATAGATCTAAGATAAAATGGGAGCTATGGGGTGAAAATGTAGTGTTTTATTAATAATAATATTGTGTGTGTGTGTGTGTGTGTGTGTGTGTGTGTGTGTGTGTGTGTGTGTGTGTGTGTGTGTGTGCGTGTGTGTGTGTGTGTGTGTGTGTGTGTGTGTGTGTGTGTGTGCGTGCGCGTGCGTGCGTGCGTGCGTGCGTGCGTGCGTGCGTGCGTGCGTGCGTGAGTGTGTGAATGTCCTCATAATCAGAACCCCCCCCCAAAAAAAAAAAAATAAAACGCATAAAACCCTAAAGGCAAGTTAATTTATTCTGCGATTACCACAGAAGCCATGAGAGATGAACATAAAAACCCATAATTGAACTTGAGCGTCGCCCGTCTGACTTCCACCATCGTCCATTATATTCCAGCAGCCAAGGAGAGAAAATGTATCTCCAGTATCATCTATTGATACTGGTGATGGCTCAAAAGGGCCACCACTTACGGGCTATTCATGCCCGTGCCACCTTTTGGGTGGCTTAATCTTCATCATCATCATCATCGAGAGAAAATGTCGTCCGGGCACACAGAGATAGCAACAGCCTGGTGGACCAAACTCTCACAAGTCGAGCCTGGCCTCGGGCCGGGCTTGGGGAGTAGAACAACTCCCAGAACCCCATCAACCAGGTATATGTGGCCCTGCGGGCCGCTCCAAGCAACAGCCTGGTGGACCAAACTCTCACAAGTCAAGCCTGGCCTCGGGCCGGGCTTGGGGAGTAGAACAACTCCCAGAACCCCATCAACCAGGTATCAACCAGATCCTATCTTGAGATGATTTCGGGGCTTAGTGTCCCCGCGGCCCGGTCCTCGACCAGGCCTCCACCCCCAGGAAGCAGCCCGTGACAGCTGACTAACTCCCAGGTACCTATTTTACTGCTAGGTAACACAGGGGCATTCAGGGTGAAAGAAACTCTGCCCATTGTTTCTCGCTGGCAAGCGGGATCGAACCCGGGACCACAGGATCATAAGTCCAGCGTGCTGTCCGCTCGGCCTGACAGCTGAGTGGACAGCGCTTCGGATTCGTAGTCCTGAGGTTCCGGGGTCGATCCCCGGTGGAGGCGGAGACAAATGGGCAAAAAGTTTCTTTCACTCTGATGTATCTGTTCACCTAGCAGTAAATAGGTACCTGGGAGTTAGACAGCTGCTACGGGCTGCTACCTGGGGATGGGTAACAAAAATGAGACCTGGTCGATGACCGGGCCGCGGGGACGCTAAGCCCCGAAAATCATCTCAAGATACATCCGTACCCCCTTAAAGACGCCGAGCCACTCGGGTTAGACAGTAGAGCGACGGCTTCGCTTCATGCAGGTCGGCGTTCAATCCCCGAACGTCCACAAGTGGTTGGGCACCATTCCTTTCCCCCGTCCCATCCCAAATCCTTATCCTGACCCCTTCCAAGGGCTATATAGTCGCAATTTCTTGGCGCTTTCTCCTCATAGTTTCCTTCCTTCTTCCCCTCTTATAGAGATGCCACTATGGAAGAGTCCGGATTAAGTAACCAATTATCAGGAGGAAGCACTAAGACATAGGACTATATAGACTACTATAGGACCCGTCTCTTTGGGACAGTAAATGTACTATAAGACCCGTCTCTTTGGGACAGTATATGTACTATAAGACCCGTCTCTTTGGGACAATAGACGTACTATAAGACCCGTCTCTTTGGGACAATAGACGTACTATAAGACCCGTCTCTTTGGGACAATAGACGTACTATAAGACCCGTCTCTTTGGGACAATAGATGTACTATAGGACCCGTCTCTTTGGGACAATAGACGTACTATAAGACCCGTCTCTTTGGGACAGTAGACGTACTATAAGACCCGTCTCTTTGGGACAGTAGATGTTCTTCAATTTCTGT